AGCTTTAACAGTGTTTAGACTTGACTGCTTGTGCTTGCTACTTTGGATTGCTGATTTGCTCCTAGCTTGATTGTGATCTAATTTTTTAATACATCTTCTGTTGCCAAAACCCTGTTGCATGCTCTAAATGTAGTTCAGTTAACGTTTAGGGAGAAAAAGTGTTTTTATCCCCCAAACTTTGAATTCTGTTTCCTTATAGGCGTGGAATGTACTGTGTTATTTTTGCAGTGTATTAGATGGGAAAAGTATCTGATTTATAAATCTTCTTTTATGTTTGCTACCAACAGAATGACTTTAAATACTCTACATCCATATCTTTTATGAACTCATGGAAGGATGGTGGACATACCTTGAACTGAAAGAAATCTTACTTGCACCCAGTTTTTCAAAAGAACCTCCACTTTCACATGAGAATAATAATTTTGCTTGTGCAAATCAGTGCAAAAAAATTACAAAATCTATATTACAAATTACATGCGTGAGAAGAAGGTCAACATAGGAAGTGAATGTCTAGTACAGAATAAGAAGAGGAAAAGGTAATATCCACAACTCAAACAGTAGTATCAGCCAAGTCATTTTCAACAAGAAGGTACAGCAAAATAAGTGTCATAAATGAGTTAATCTTTTCTGAAGGTCTGATCCTGTATATAACAGGACAGAATTCCCACTGACTTGTAGGAAGTCTGAACATCTTAGCAGTTCTTAGGTGAATCTGGTCTCCCTAAGGTGTCTAGGTGTGGTGTTATAGTATCCCTGCCTGCACCATGTTTTTGCTTTTGGATTTTGTTTGTTTCTTCTCTAGAAGTCATCTATTTGAAAGTACGATACAAAACCTGTAAGTGAATTTCTGACGTGAATGAGCTTGTGGACTCATTTAGAGATGCACCTAAATTTTCAGTGTTAATGTAAAAGTTACTTTGTCTTTGCTAATACTATGCAAAAGCCATAGAAAATTATATAGGCTGGCTTTTCTGCACGCAAGTTGTGGCATCAAGAGAGCCATAATCAGGGCATACATCAGGTTTTCAGTCCTGATCCATCAGGTCACAGGGCCTTTTTAGCATCTTTGGTAAAATTTCATAGGAAGAACTTACCAAGTCATGTGGTAAGCTAACGCTCAGTTTTCTGGGAATATAATTTTGATGTCGCAGTTGTGAAGGCTTGAGATTATATGGTATTTTAAAGATATAAATGACATGCCAAATTAAAAAAAGATCTTAAATGCAGTCTTTAGGTGATAAATCGCAGTCTCTTTGCTTAGACTATGGTTCTTGGTTTGTATTCGTAATTTTGGAATTTTCACTTTAGAACTATAGGATGAATTCTCTTTAAATATCGTTCTTGTATTTATCTGAACCTCACCATGTTTAAAATAACATGAATGTTCAGAGGTTTATTAGCCTCTCACTGATCCATGCTGTTTCTTATCTCCAGTACCTGCTAACTGCAGCATAAAGTGGGTGCTCTGACCTTAACATCAATGGAAGTTAGCCTCAGCTTTGCACGATGTGGTCTATATAAGCCAGGCTTCCCTACATGGAAGGAGGGAGGGAGTTGCTGTCTGCTGATAGCTCTGTTTCTCCGCCTCTGAAAGGCGACTCTACCAACCAGGTCCTGTGAAAGAGCTGCAGTTAGCCTGCCCAGTGCAAAGGGAGCAGAGTGGAGCAGAATTTCCAAAACTTATTTATCTGACATAAGCCGCTGAACTTCCATGCCAATTTTAAAAAAGTATGGGCTGCAATGACCATTAGAAATGACGTCTTCATGCGTGCTCGTTTAGGTAGGCAGGATACCAATGTTAACCTTAATTTCCTTGTCAGTTTTGGGACTGCTGATGGCTTATTTAAAGACAAGCTGGGAGGTAAATGAGGTCACAAAACAAGACCTACTTTTCAACAGCCATGAGATGATGTTGGGCTCTCCCGTTTTGCAGAGGCAGACTAGGGTCAGCTGTAGGCCCTGGGCAATGTGATGCTTGCTACTGAGAGAAGGGAAAGCAGTTCATTTCTCCTGAAGAAGCAATTCTGTTACAACTCCTTGCCTTGCCTTCCCTCTATCTAGTGTCTTGCTGGGCTGAGTCCCTGATCCTGGTTAAAGTAGTATTGCACCTTGCCTGTGCTGAGCTGATCCTGATTCGAGGTGTAGCTTTGCAGTTACAACTGTGTCGGCCTTCAGTCTATGAGGAGACAAGTCAAACACAGAAGTTGGAGGAAGGAGTTCAGTGCCTTCAATTTAAAACCACATAAAAAAGTTGCACAAACATCTGCAGACTTCAGCCTCAGATGCCTTCGGGTGCCTTCTAGGCCTTACGTGTTCCCTGAAGTTTTACTGTTGTTGGATAAAGCAAATAAACTTCTGTTCTGAATTTTTGTAACAGACATAATCGCTTGGGCTCTGCTGTTGTAACACCTGAATCAAAGGGAGACACCTATTCTCAGCAGCCTCAATGTTTGTCGTGGACTAAACAGCCCTACTTCAATCAATACATCTGGCTGCTAAAAGAATTTGCTGAAGCAACATTAATGTCTTGATAGGAGATATCTTTGCTTCAGTTTTACATGAAGCCCTTCATGTTAAAGGCTTCAGCTTTAGTAAATACTTTTACACTCCATGAAGGTGGCTGTAGTCAAGTTAAATATAGACTTTTTTTCTGAAAGTTTTTTTTTTTGAGCTGGCTAACACTGAACAAATATAAACTTATTTGTGAATGTTTAGAGAAGTGATGCATTCGTCTTATTATTCCGTACTCCAGCGATGGCAGTACTGTGTTCATCGTGATAAAATTCAAAAGGAAGTAACAGTCTGTTAAGAAGATAATCTGAGAAATGAATCAGTGTGACTCAAAAAGCATGTAGGTGTTAGAGTGACAGCTAGTTTCAGTTCATATAAATACCTATTTTGATAACAAGACAAAGTGGAAACTGGAAAGAAAAGTTTTTTCACAGAATTTAAAAACAAACACCATCTTTATAGAACTGCCTTACAAAGAAAAGGAAGGGAAATACCTTGGAATGTTTTGCAAAATGATCTCCAGTATGATGTTCTTGTTCTCGGCAATATTAGCGTTGTAGGGCTTTTTGCAATTTCCCCATACCAGTGATGCGTCAAAAGCTAGCAGCATGTGCTGCCCGTTGACAACGATTAACAGTATGCCATTTCAGCATACACTTCCATTTTTACTTTTTCACTTGAAAGTATTTCCAGTATTTTCTCTAACTTATGTTTTAATTACTTTTCACATAAAGCCCCATTTTTTCCGGAATTATGTGCATTTCCTGTTAAAATGTCACGTTTTTAATTGTGTCTTCCTAACACTGGATTTAGTACGATTTGAGAATGCGATGTCTCAATATGCTAATGGTGTTACTGCATTTTGACTGATACAGTTTTAAGATAAGGTCTGTGTGTGTTTTAGTACTCATTCCTTAAGCAAATCCATACTAGCAATTAGACAAAACCAGTACTTATTAAGTGTTGCCATGTACGTACGTGAGAGTGATCCTATTGTTATGTGTATTTTTGTAACAAAATTATACATTGATACTTATTACTATAATGTGATATATGTCAGAGCCATAAGAAAAATGAAAATAGGCAGAGATGTGATACAAATTTAAAATGTTCAGGATGTTTTTAACTTTGGTAGGTATTAGCTCAGACAAAATGGCTGAAATTCTATTTTAAGTGAATTTTATTTCATTTTCTGACACTTTAATATAAAATGCTTAAAATCCCTTTCTTGCACCTATAATATATTGAAAATAATTCCTTTCTTGGAAGGTAAATGTGTATGTTAATGAGAAAGGACTGGGAAATTTATTACTATAATCTATTGCTTGAGTATACAGTTTTGCCTGCAGTTTTGTTTATGAATTCAACTGAGCTAAAAATAATCCTGAACGCAGACCCACTCCAGTTTATGAAAGAGTTCCTGTTGTCTCAGGGTGGGGGAAGTGGGATCCCCAATGAATTCATTTGCCTTTTAAAGTGGGCAGAGCTTCCCTCTGAGCAGAGGCAGCATTTAACTTGTACTTACTTCCAGGCCAAAAGACCATGTAGATGTTGGTCCACTAGCCCTTACAGTGAGAATCCAATTGCCGTTATCTGGACTGAAGTATTATTGCATATTTAATAAAAATCATAAAACAGACTAGATCTCTGATACGCTGTGGTGTAATAGAGAGGTAATGGGCTATGCGACAGATTAATAAGATTTTGGAGTTGTAAAAACGTTAAGTCAGTTTAAATCTTACCAGTAAAGCTGCTCAAAACTGTTAATACTGTAATCTTGAGAACTGTAGTGGCCAAGTGTTGCTGGCGTGGATTAAAATGTCTGTGTGATCGCCTTGTATTCACCTTCTTTTTCAGAATCAGTTAGCAGGAGCAGTCCAGTAAGTTTTATTTATGGTGCATTATGAAGAAAAATGGTTAACAAAGCATACCCAGGAACTGTTTCAGTAGCAGTTGTCTGTTTTTCTGTATTTTACAGATACCAGGACTGTGTAAATTTGAGGTGGCCGTGGCTGTCTGGCCCCTTTCTTCTGCCATAGAGCCGTCAGTCTCAATTTGGACTCTGCAGCCTGGTTACGCACTCCTTCTACGGGTGGTGCTGACTTCTTCCACCTGTGTAAGGACTGCACAAGTCTCACTTGGTGGTGTCTGTAAATCAGAATTTTACTAGTGCCACGTTTTGCTGCTTTTCTTTTATTTCAGGGTAATGCAATTAAAACCCCGAGTGAAAAGCACTGCTACACGGTCTGTTTAACTGTTGTAAAGATCTGCTAGTCCAGAGGTGGCATGTCATTTAGAAATTCGCTTGACAGTTACTTACTTCGGTGGTTTTGAAAATGACAATGTTGTTCTTTGTTTGTTTTTTTTTTCTCATTCTTTTTGAACCCCTGTTTTATATGTGTGTGTTTTTTTCCTCTGCCTAGACCTGGTTAACCATTTCTGTGAACAGGTCCTCAATTTTTTACTTTGTCCCTACTTTCCTGTCGTAGCCCCATCTTCCCCTGGTGTCGACTCCGTACCCTTACAGCGCACAGGCAGTCAACACGGCACACAGAACGCAACCGCGACCTTCCAGAGGGCCAGCTATGCGGCAGGCCCAGCCTCCAATTACGCAGACCCCTACCGACAGCTGCAGTATTGTCCTTCTGTTGAATCACCATACAGCAAATCTGGGCCAGCCATCCCACCTGAAGGGACCTTGGCTAGGTCACCTTCCATTGATAGCATTCAGAAAGATCCCAGGTGGGTGAAACCTTAATTGTCTACTATTTATTGCTCATGCAGAGGTTTATAATTGCAGTTGACTTTGTACGTTTCCACTATTGTGTGTCACCAAAAAAAAGTATAAGATTTTGTTTGCATAACTGTTTTGTTCTAATGCTTTGCCTTGGAAGGCTCTCATGAGCTCTTCCGTGAAATGAAATGATAGGTGTGGTCTTGAGTATGTATGTTTAATCTGCTTTCAGTAGTGCTGCTCCTCATGAAAAGTAATTTTCTCTGAAAACCAGAGCAGTGGTATGACTGTTTTGACCTTTTAACCCTTGTGGATTGAATTTTCAAGCTACTCCTCAGGCAGAAGTTCTTACAGTCAATAGTTTGTCTGCAGTTAATATCTAGCGCTGCACAAAAGGATATTCTGGTACTAGGCAGTGAGACTAAAAGCAATGTGGAAAGAGAATGTACTCGGGTTTATGCTTCACCTTATGTGCTATGCAGGCTTCTCATGCCTAGCATGGTAGCAGAATGTATGTACTGCAAGTTTTCTAGTACACGTGCATTTCAAATCTATAGCACAACTTAAAATGTCCTCAGACATGAATATTCTGGTTTGCAGTATACCTAGGGAACGTGCAAGGACAAAACTTTATAGCCAAGTATATGGGCAGTTTTGAAGGCATATGGTTTGGTTTCCATTATATCTGTAGCAGAAACGTTGAGTGCAGTCCTTGGTGTATTTGGTGGTTTTGTTTAATTTTTGGCTGGAAAAAATATCAGCAGGTTTTTTGGTAACTTAAGTTTAAACCTATTGTAAATGTTAATTTATACAGGCTTTTCTATGGCAGATGGCGTGGATTTTTTTTGCTACATGAAATTTAACGATAAGCAAGCCCAAAAACTTGCCCCCAACAAAAGTGCTGGAGGTGTTTAAGCAACAGGATGAAAAGACTCCTCTCCTCCCTGCGTTAAAACGCAGAACTTCACAACCTGATCTTTCGACACGTTTGCGTTATCAAAAATCTCTGTCTTAGTGCAAAAGCCCAATAGCAGGTAAATTTTACAACACATCAGGAACACCACTGCTCGTAGCCACTTCAGCTATCACAGAGTTTTACTTACTGGAAAAACTTCCCCCTGCAACTTTTTTTCCTTGACTCTTGATATTTCTGCAGAAATTTGCAAGAATGTAAACTCAGTTCTTCCCCTTTGTCCTCCTGCCCCAAAACAAACATTAGTAACCAGAGGGAAACAGTCTTTTTCTGAAATCTTAGTATGTTGATATATTTGTGTTGCAGAACATAAATATTCATGGAGAAAGAGCTTTGCTTTGTAATGATATTGTTTCCAAACCTCAGGGAAGTTGTATTAGGAATGAATTAAACCAGAGGAAAAATGACTGAATTCCCTAACAAATGTACTTAGGAAAAGCATGCTGATCATAATATCCATGAATTGTCCAAGATATGTTGGACTTACCTTTTGTTGAAGGTGCCATCTGTTAAGTTGCTCTGCTATCATTTTGAATCTGTTTGTGAGTGACTGTATAGGATATGTGCTTGTAAAATTTAAGATTTTTTTTCAGCAAACTTTTCATTTTGCTGTTTTTTAGTTCTTTTCTTTCTCTCCATGTGGTATCATTTCTGCAGCAGAGTTTTGTGAGTATTGATTCCTTTAGGTAAAACAGGAGATCCAGACAGAGATTGAAGTCAATAAGCTCTTTACAACGAATCATTAAATACCCTTTTAATTATGATTATTACTAATCATAAAGTGATTGAGGTGGGATTTTTAACAGAATATTGTTGTAATGGAGGACTGTATTCCACTGTAATGTATTTCTGCCTTCTTCATTTATTTATCCATGAACTGTGCTGTCCAGTTACTTAATGTTACTGCCCTCACTTGTTGATGGGGAATAATTCTTATGAAGAGATGTTAGGGAGACGCTACTGATAGTCTTCCACCTAGGCAGAATGGCTTGTGAAACTGTCCCTTGAATATAGCACTTGCTGATCATTGAATTATTGGAAAGATGTTGAAAAATTGGAAGGAGATGAGGGAAAAGCAATAAAAACAATCAGGAGACTTTCAACATGTTGATTTCTATTGAAAGACTACAAAAGCTTGAATAAATGACAAATGCGGGGAAGGAGAGGGCAGAAAACTTTACAGATGCTTCAAGAAACAATAAGGAAGGAAGGAAATTATTTAGGTTAGCACATGGAGGTATAATTAAAGTAAATGCCTTTAATTAGAGAAAGGAAAACATGGCCCAAATATTAAAAAAAAAACTTTCAGTAGCTGCGTTAAGTTGCATACTGTTGGTCAATGTGGTATCATTTATGCCTTAGACAGCAAGAACAAATAAACATATTGGTCAGTGGATGGATTTTGGCAATTGATAAGTCTTGAGCTGCTTTACGGAGCAGTACTGCTTTTTTGGTCCAAAAAAGAGGTGGGGCGAAAAACCTGTATGAAGGGTGGCTGAGAGTACTTGTCAGGCACCAGGCTTGCTTGTCCAGTCAGCAATCCAGCCAAGAAGGTTTGCTGGCAGAGCCAACTGGAAAATAAAAGCATGTTGCAGTATCTACCAATAGGAAGCTTTCAGTTAGTGTATGGTACATGCCAGTCAATTCAGGATGAAAAATAGATACCAGAAGAGAACGTACATATCCTAATAAGCAGTTAGTTTCTGAATTTTATCTTTTTTTTTTTTCAAGAATCTTCCATTCAAATGAAATTTCTATCTGAAATCCAAGAAAAGCGTTTGACAGGCACTGCTGTAATTGATGTTTTTTCCATTATTTTCACCGTGTAGTTCGGATTGCTAGAACTACATATGCGTTCTGAGCTGACATTTGGCGCAAGAAATTTTAGCTCAACATCTGTTCTCCGTCACCTAACTCTCATAAAACAGTTTAATGTTCAGTAATATAAAGTATAGGACAAAATCTATTTTAAAAAAGTACCAATGTTTATTATCAAGTTTGTGGTAATGAATAATTTTGCAGATAGACTGTGTGGTGATATGAACTGATGTAACAAAAATAGTAAAACCTATATATAGTAATGGTGGACACAAGTCTGTTTTGTGTTATTTTAAAAGGAAATGAACCTCTTTTCTCATCCCTATCAGTAATAAAACTTAAGTTCTGCATAGGGAAAATGGAGAAGTTGAACATCAAAGATAATATATGGATTGGGTTTTTTTTGGGGGGGGGGCATGCTTATGTGTGTTGGTCATGTCAAAAAGGAAAATAAGTGTTCATTAGGGCTGTGATATAAACTGTTTCACGACATGATATTTTGAAAGAAAATGTGTCATAGAGATTGGGCCGAAGGATATAGTATTTATTTTCTAATTGTTGTCTTGCTTTTGGTTCCTACTGGACTGTGAACGCAGAAATTCACAGGATTCAGAAGCTAGCCTAAAATGCTGACAAATGGCAGAGAGGATAACGGTGAAAGATGACAGAGGATGGTGGTCCATAACTTGTGCTGGCACTGGTTCATAAAGCATATTGGCTTACAGCAGCAAAGTATGTTCACATGCTTTTACCCTTTTATAGTATAATAGAGAAAGGTATAGTAAAGGTTGTTTTTACTAGGTATTTTCTTTTAAAGTATTAGAAATATATGTTCATTTGACATTTTCTGCCCTACTTTCTTTTAAGAAAGATTAATTTGTCCTGTAGAGCTAAAAAAATTATTTGAGATTTGCCCATTCCTAGGATTTAGGGCAACTGGTGAGCCCTAAAAATAGAAATGTCAGTATCCAGTTATCAGTTTTTGTGCCTGCCAGTTTCTACTCCAAAATACAAAATTGAAAACCATGTGTAGATTGTTTTATTATTGAGGTTTTGTATTCCTAAGAAACCATGTGCATGCACCATCGCAGATGAATAATGCTATTGCATAGTAAGTGGAAAATATATCATTGTGTACATCTTTCAGCTAAATACATATTAATAAAGTTTTGCGGTAGCGGTGATTTTGCTTGTTTATATACTCCCTGTCTGGTTTTATGGGTTGATTTTGGCATGTTTCTTTCATTGTTTTATGACATTTCTTCAGTACTGTGTTCTTAAATGATTTTATACACGCGTGTTTTTCGTGCAAAGAAGCTGGCAAGAAGCTAAGTAACCAGCAAGAATTATGTGAAATATACTCAGTTAAAGCTATCAAAATGAATTTCAGACTTCAGATGTCCATTTAATATTGTAATGAATTATATTGATCTATATTTATAATTTTCCTTTATGGGATTTTCTTCCTCAAAAAATATGTTTTAGAACCTTTTAACTGTTTATTCAGAAGAAATGGGAAAATTCCATGAATACAGATGTAAACGGTGCTTTTTTTTGTAGAACAGAACGCAATAAGGATGGGGAATCCTTTTTTATTTTTTTCCTTTTTTTCTTTTTTAAAAAAAGCGCTAACTGGAATTGTGTTGCAACTAAACAAGAAAACAAAAATTTTAAATTCAGCTATCTTGTAGTGGTGGTTCTTTTTAAAACTGTCAGGGTGTAAGTCAGCATAGTTAGTGTGTTCAAGATACTGCGTGATTCAGCTTGAATACCCAGAGACATTTCTGCTCTGTCCTTTGCTTTCAGAATATGCATTTTACTTTACCTCTGCTGGGGTTAATTTCTTACTAAGCAGGGAATGAAGGTTTTGGCTATTTACCTTCTAAACCTTTAAATTGTCATTTTTTCCATTTACGAAAAGGACATACATCATTGCATATGGACCATAAATTTCAAAACTCATTTTGCAAAAATTACGCTGTATTTTCAAAATGCAAACTAGAAATTTTTCTTATTTATAGGGAAAGGGAGATAAATTAAAAAAAATTTCTTGTTGATTTCAATCTTCCAGTAAAACCACTTAGGAGATTAGCGCACGCAGTTTGGAACATGACCTGTTAAAAGGTAAATGTTACTGCAGGAGTCCTCACCGTATATTTAATCTTCCTTTGTTCCAAGGATTGTCAAAGTGCTAACAGCATTACTGGATTGTAGATG